CCACATTCTATATACCTGGGTTGAAGTAGTGCTCTTTACTCAGTTTAATTTATCTTGTCCTGTATAAGGGTGTGACAAGGTTTGTCTAAGCTCCCTAATTTCTTATAGTAACCCGGGCCGGGTTGGTCAAAACCCGATTAAGCTAACCCGGGATTTGCGAGAAGTTTGATTTCAATTTTGTAACTTTTTGGTGAGGTTTTCTGTTTGTTTTGTTTGTCCTTCAGTTTTGAGTTTGAATAATCTTAAGCTACACAATAAATAAGCAATGAAAAACATTTTTATCCAAGAAGAATTGATACTTTGGTTAACTTTTAATCCTGGGTTAGCGTTGAGTGGCTTTCGATCAACCCGGCCCTGAATCAAAGGATCAGCTTGGGTTAGCGGTATTTTTGCTTGTTTGTTTTATTTGTCTAGTGTCTCCACAATTCACCGAGATTCCCGATCAAGTTTTTAAGGTAAAGGAGGGTAAAGTAGCCTCTGTTGTCTGCCGAGCCTTTGGTTCTCCACCTCCTGTAATTCAGTGGTCAAAGGCATTTGCGTCATTGCCGAAACGACGTACAACTGCTGATGGAACCCTTAAGATTACCAGTTTTAGCCTGAACGATGTTGGAACGTACCAGTGCAAAGCAACCAACAAGCTGGCATCAGTAACTGCGTCGACAGTTCTAAGTATTGTTGAAGGTGAGAAAAAGAGATTGGTTCATCTGTTATTTCAAGTGGAGGCCAGTGCGTTCGTCTCCGGATCAAGCGGTCCGGGTTAGAGCCCTGGCTGGGGACATTGTGTTGCGTTCTTGGGCGATCCGGGTTAGAGCCCTAGCTGGGGACATTGTGTTGCGTTCTTGAGCAAGACACTACTCACACAGTGCCTCTCTACAAACCAGGTGTTAAAATAGGTACCGGCGAATTTAAAGCTGTGTGGTAACCCTGTAATGGACAATCACTCCATACAGGGGTGGGGGAGTAGGAATACTCTTAGTCATTTCATGCTTCTGAAACTGGAGATAAGTGCCGGCCTGGTAGGCCACTTGGCTCTTACGCAGACTTCCTTTTCAACTGTTATTTCATCTCAACAACCGTATTTTCTTTTTTCTTTAATGTCATATTTTACCCTATCCAGCGTGGGTTTGTCACTTGAAGTCATGTTTCCATGTCATCGATTCTCCAACCCTGAAATGGGATTTCTCCCGAAGAACTGGTCAAGAATTGGAAGCAGACCTCGCGATAATCAAGTCAGCCACTGAAAATAACTTTATATTTCACCTGATCAGGAAACAACAAACAGTTACAGAATGGGGGCCTGGCTTGGGCTTTACCAAAAAGCTGACACTAAGTTCTACTGGATTGATGTCACTCCACTGGAGGGCCAATATTCTGCATGGGCAAGCGGCGAACCGAACAATCATCATGAGAAATGTGCCCGTGTGTATGGAAAGGGATCCAGGCCAGGAAAATGGAATGACATATCATGCAATATCGATGCAAAATATTTAGCTTGCGATCCAGTTGTTCTTTGTCAAAAAGCAAACAATTGAGGCTATAGGAAGAGTGCAAGCCGATTACTGTGCCTGCTCAACCAGGTCGAAACAGTTGTCCACGGTTGCCATTAAATTCTTGGCTTTCAGTTTGGACTCTATCATGTCGTTGTCCCGTTAAGCTTTCTACGTAGCAGCTTTACTTTGTTATTATTGTTCTATTTTTATTGTTTGATGATCAGACCTTTTACAGATTCTACGTATACCAACAGCATCGTTTCCGGTCCCTTGCCACATTTCTATCTAAAACTTGGCCCACTTGGTAATTATGATTGGAGTATCTCAAAAATGCAGGAAAAAGATAAGGGACATCTTGCTCTTTTTTTGTGGGGGGAGGGGCAATATGACCCGGGGGGGACTCCGATATAAAAAGGACTGGTGTGTTCGTCGTACCTTTTAGAGTTTGAAAAAGCAGTTTTGGTACATCATAGGGTGTTCAGTCTCAAAAGGTCCACAGCGGGAGCTCTCACGGTGCTTTTTAGCGTATTAAGCAGAAAAAAAATATGAGAGGAGATATCTGACAATCAACTTTATAAGTTGAAGGTATTCGAAGCAATCCTCTTTATCGCTATTAAAAATTTTGAAAGTGTCTGTTAACGTGTTGCTGTAGAATTGGTACATCTTAGGGGTGAAAAAAAAATTGCAAATTGGTGCCTCTTAAGGGTTCTTTTCAAAATTTCCAACCAGCACCCTTGTCCTTTCTATATGGGAGTCCCCCCGGGATTGTAATTAGATGTTAGATAACAAGCTCAAGATTTCTACTTTTGTACGAGGCGATAGTTGGTGAGGCCGAAGGACGAATCAGGTATCACCATATAGACATCGAGAGAAAATGATTTAAGTGAACTTAACTTCACATGACGGTTTCCAATTGTTTCTCTCGTAATATAAATAAATAGATAAATAAATAAAATAAAATAAATAAATAAATAAATAAATAAATAAATAAATAAATTACAATATTTAGAGAGGAGCCAGTTTTCACGCGAGGCCTCTATCCTGGTCGAATACGAAATTTGGAGATGCTAGCTTTTGTGGAGGGAGGAAAACAGGGGCACTCGGAGCAAGGGGAGAACCAACGAGAAACCCAACCCACATATGGCACCGGGCCGGAATCGAACCCAGCCGCATTGGTGGGAGGCGAGCGCTCTCACCTCTGCGCCATCCCTGCTCCCCAGAGCAGCTTTAGAATAATCGCGCGAACTGAACTGTCAGATTAGCAGACGTGCTTTCATCAGTTTTTTAACAACAAGTCCATGAATGTCTTCCTTTAGTCTTCTCAGCAATTCAATTATCCATTTCAGCATCCAAATGTTCCTCCAAAAATTCGCAAAAACGAGAAAACTTCGCCTTTTGAGTCCTGCACGCCATGGAAACTGATCGACGTCAACGCAATTTTTACCTCGGCAATGGACCTGTATTGCAGACAAGTATAT